CCTACATTCAGGCTGTCCTGATGCATGATCCAATACTCAAAATTATCCAAGTTTTGTTAGTAAAAATTCCTTTATTGACTTTCCAAATTTATTTAGGTCAATTTTTCAAAAAAGAATCCAGATAACCTCCTGTTTCAAAGCAGGTTGAATCTGACATGTTAAAGTATAATTTCTAATATGTTGTGTCCGTAGCTTGCAAATGGTTGTTGAAATCTATTGTGTTTTAGGGAATCTGTTCCAGTTGTTCCAGGAGACATCGTTCATTTAGAAGGGGAGTGTAGCTCCGGTACCTGGGTCATAAATGAACAGTCTGGATACCTGGTTCTTTACCCAGATCTGCTGCTTTCTGGCACTACAATATCAAATAGTATTCGATGTATGAGAAGAGCAGTGCTGAGTGAAAGGTTTAGGGTAAGTGTTGATTCTAGATCATCAGCCACAGGAATGGGTTCCATTGAGACTGGTGGTTTAGCTCAACATTGAAACTCTGAAAGGCTGTATTGCAAAATGTTGTGAGCTATTCATAATCTTTACAATATAGAAGAATTTAGAATGCAGACTGTCTCTGGTTGAGCTTCTTGCGTTTTTTATGAGAGTTGTACCTGATGTAATCCTATATTAATATAACTAAGGGGACAAATAAATGGTCTTCCCACTTAAAATTGGCAGCTTTTTTGTAATCGCTTGCCACATTTTGTGTGGATATGAATCCTTTATGAAGGATGTGCTTCTTGTCGACCATATGAAAACAAAACCACACTTGACCAAGTTAAAAGCCTCTGAAAAAGTCGGCAAGTTCCATTAAGAAACTATGTGGGCTAACTCTGGAATCTGAATCCAGTTGCTGGAACTTGGAAAGGGGAACAGTCCCTTGTGGTAGTGTCCTTGTTGATACGTGAATGGCAAAGAAGCGTGGGGAAATGGCTGAGGGTAACTCCCAGTCTTGGTAGGAATACAAATCCAAATGGGGACAGAAATTGGAGTGGTAAAAAGGCTGTCTGGGAGCCTGTGAGTGCAATAGGAAAATGAAGTACAGGATTGACTGTGAAATGGTGTCAGCCCTTTGTTAGGAGAATAATGGGAATAAACTGTTTGGAAGGGACAGTGCAGTGTCCTGTCTCAGGGATAACACCATCCACCAGTTCTGAGAGCAACCCACAACTACCAGGTCTTATAAAAGATAACAATAAATACAGAAATTAGATTTCACATTTTTCAGTGGTGGCTCATGCATACCTTGTTATTGCTTTCAATTCTTATGGGTCTATAAAGCCCAGTCCTGGTGATGGTTACATGGGTTTCTGAGCCATTTTGGTAATACTTGGAATAATTTGGGGTGAATTGGTAACACACTGCTTAATGCAAAAAATATCATCTGTTAAGATTGTAGCAGTACGTATTTGTATTAGAAAATACTGCTATTAATACTGCCCACAGGCAAAACTTGCTTGAAATTAATTTCAATCTGTGTGTTTCACCTGTCGTTCACATGGGGAATTGCATTCTAACATGATGAGGGTTGGGATAAAAGTGGGAGATAAAGCAGCAAGAGACCCATTTCAGTTTGACTGTTTTCACAGTCAGGCATGAATTAGATATTCATCAGTGAGGTGAAAGCTCTAATGATCTTACAGTGAAATAAGTGCAGTCCATTGCGTGCAGCAAGTGAAAACAGAAATTTTAAATAAATGTTGGCATGACTTTGTAAATCTTCCTGTAGTTATCCATATTGTATAACACCTGTTGCAGGGCTCAGAGTCTGGTTCACGCCAAACGCTCGTTGGTACAATTCTTCATGAAATCTTCCAGCAATCAGTAACAAATAACTTGGCCCAAGAAAAAGTAGAAGAACTAGCAAAGAAAATTGTGCATGGACAAAAGTATCTGAAAGAAATGTAAGTAGCCTTGCATGTGTCTTGTGTTTGGAAGGCAGGGTAGAAACACTTGAGCTAGCAGATGAAGTTTTATTTTACAGCATGTAGCGCTATTGGGAGAGTATTCTGCCAAATGACCTTGCTTAATACAACTTGGGTATCTCTTAGTAAGATAATTCCCTGTTTCTTCATGTAATTTGCCTTCCCTGCTGAGCTACTTCTGTAGATCTGAACTAGGCTTCTAACTATCTGTGTGGGTTCTTGTTTTTCTTTCAGGGCAAGCAGGTTGGTGTTTTTGTGCCTCTAACATTACATTTCCAGGTTAAATATGATGAGAATAATGAATTTTGATCCTTAGGAGATGAACTAGAAGCTTGTGACAGACCAAGCACTGAAATGTCTGATATTTTCATATTCCTTATCAGGTTACTTAATGGTTCAGTTGTTAAGATGACCTTTAATGTAGTTTTATCTGCAAAGCTGATAGAAATGCTGGCCAGATCAGTAGTCTTCATATTTACTTCAGGGTATAAGATGGATGGCTGTCAGTTTTAAGATTTAAAAATTGTATCTAGAATATTGTAAATGGTATGTTGGGCAATGTCAGTATCTGTTAGCCCCAGATGAGATGGAAATTAAAGTTGCACAAGATTACTGTAGTTCTGTTATAAAGGTAGATATTTTTAATGGTGACCGCTAAGATTTCTTAAAGGCTCCTGTGTCACTCTAGGCCTCTCTGAGACTGATGATTTGCAATTCCTCTTTGCGTATGCAGGCTACTATTTGTTGGGAATGAAAAGTAAGCTGCATCAGTCTCCTGGCTGTGGTCATTTGCACTTGAGTTAAGATTTTTTTGTGGAAAACCCACTTGTATTTCTTGAGTGCTGTAGAATGATGACGTTATTTCTGGTTAATGGCAGCACTGAGTTACCTAGTGGTGCCTGATTAGTTTAATGAGACTTCTGCTTTCCTGTATGTTTGTCCTGTTGCAACTGCAGAGGATCACGATTCCTTTCCAATTAAAATGGCTTGAAGCCTGTCAAAATGTATAAGAGGAGCAAGCAGCAGATAAGTGTGTTCAGAGAAAAAGCAAATGGTCTTTTAATTTTTTTTTTTACCTTACCAGTTTGCACATTTTTCATAAGGTGTAGGAGGAACAGCTGTTTTTAAATGCATGGATCTGGTACTCCTTTCTTGCAGTGTGAGTTTTGTTTCATCACCTCTACCATGCTGATGCTTTCATTTTGCTGTGCCTGTTGTCTCAAAAGTTACATCAGAAATAAACATAGTGTGTTCTATCTCTTGTAATGGACGTTCAGTTACAGCTTTATGAATTAATCATTTCAGTTGAACCTTAATGAATCTGTCATGATCTACAATTTATAGATGTTTATTGAAACTTGACAGTTATTTTCATTACTCTAGTTGCTACTTGAGGCAACATTTTGTTAGTACCAGCAGCAGATCTGACATTTGTCTCCTTAATGTGCATGGCTTTGTTTTTTAGGTATCACTTACGCCTGAAACCAACAGAAATAATGCAGGAAGTGGAAGAATATTTGCCATCGTTTTTCAAATGGGCAGAAGACTTCATGCACAATCCAGCTAACCAAAATAAAATGCAACTAAAACTGTAAGAAGCCAGAATTAAACCTGTTCTAAGTTGTATACCTTGTTTGGTTCACTTTTAATTTTTCAGACAACACTCTCAATGCAAATCTGTTCAGTGACAAGGAGCTAATTCATGGCTTCACTGCCAAAATAGCTCATCTTGAGAACTGCATGTTTAGCTGCCACTGTAAGTACTAGGGAAGACATTAAGACTGAAGGTCAGTTGACATAAAAATCTTAGTGATCTTAAAATATTCGTAAACAGCGTAGTACAAAGTAGAAATTATAGTAATTAGAAAAGCAGATGTATTTGATCTAATGACTAAGCTAAAAGTTAGTGTAAAGAATGTGCAAGACTACAAATCAGACTGTGAAATTGTTAATCAAATATAATTATTCACTAAGTAGTTTACAGTGAAATGGTGATTTTACTCAACTGCTGTAGACCTTTTCTTGTCTATGTGAGCTTTTCTTGCCTATGGCTTAGTGCTGTTAATGGGAAGAGCTGTAGGGTGTTAAAGTTTCAGTGAAGTGACAGGTCTCAGTAAAATCTCTGTGGGACTTCCCAGTGTGTGTCATGAAACTTCTTGAAGAACCAAAGTGATTTAGAGTGTGGCTGTTCAGAAAAGACAAAAAACCCCACACTACTAAAAGCCAGTTTAAAATTCTTCTTAAGTTTTGGTATTTATGTGAATAGCAAAGCTATGTGCCAGGGTGCAATTTAAAGTAGCACTGATATGATGCTTCCTCTGTTAATGGGAAGATAGAAATAAAGTGCATAAAGTCTCATTCACACTATTGTTGGTGCCTAAAGAGCAGCTATAATGCAAAAATACTAAATGCTTTATTGCAATATATTTTAATATTTAAATATTAAGAATTAATGGGAATGGTTAACTTCTGATTTAATTTTCTTCCCAGGTCAGGTGGTGGAAAATCAGACAATTTCTCCTCAAAGGTACAGGTGGTTGATATCTTAGACATTGAAGAGAATATCTGGTCTCCCAGGTTTGGGCTGAAAGGGAAGATTGATGTTACAGCCAGAGTGAAAATCCATTGCCAGTCTGGAGAGCAGTCTAGGGTGATGCCATTGGAGCTCAAGTCTGGCAAGGAATCCAACTCCGTAGAGCACAGAAGTCAGGTACAAAACCCAGATGTTTAATTTAACCATCAGGGGCTATGTATACTTTTTTATTAGATGACCTCATTTGTCTTGCAAATGTGAAACACTTTGTTTGTATGTGGTATCATCTGGATTTGTGGATGGCTGATCCTGGCATGTCCAAAGCTGCTGACAGAAAATGAAAGTGAACTGAGGAATGAGATAGATATACATTGACCGCTTTCAAGTGCATTAATAGTTTTTATCCTGAAATATCTGTTCTTTAGCCTCCTTTCACTACATCCAAGTATTAGGTTGAGGCAAACTGCTTCAGGAGTTATTGTTGTGCATCCTTCCAGATAGGCTACTACCTTTAGATCAGGCTGCCTTGTTAGAAGCTTTCCTGAAGGAAGATGCCTTTTAACTGAAGTCCTTGGTGAGGTGCTTATGGCTTCTAAATGACTTCTGATAGTAATGGCTGCTTCTGTATAAAGTAGGGAATAACCGAATACAGCCTAACTTTTTTTGTTTTTCATACACTGTAATATGTTATATGTAATATTTGCAGGTTATTCTGTACACGTTGTTGAATTTGGAACGGAGAGTAGATCCTGAAGCTGGATTTCTCCTTTATCTTAAAACTGGTACCATGTACCCTGTTTCTGGAACTCGCATGGACCGGAGAGGTAAAGTTGTTCCCATTCCCCAGAAACCATAATTCTCTTCATTAAAATGAAATGTGTTACTAACAGTTACGAGGTTTACGCTGGTGAACATACCTGAACTTGTTATAGTGTTACTAATTCTAATAAGCTTATATTAAAAACTTACTTGTATTGTTAATACTCTACTAGTGCTTTGCTATATGAATACTTGCTTCTCAGCTGACTGTAAAGTTGATGGCTAGTTACTTTTGAGTTAGAAATTACTAGAAACAAACCCCCAGAAAATCAGCTTAGTTTGTTCTTTTCTTGACAGAATTAATGAAGTTAAGAAACCATGTGGCCTTCTACTTAATGCACAGTACTCATAAATCTGCTGTGGGACAACAGCAGTCACAGCTTGCTGCTCTGCCTCCTGTAACTGATGACAGCCAAGCCTGTAAATATTGCTCCCAAATGCACAACTGCTTTCTATACAGCAGGTAAAAGAAAAAGTTTTACTTGTGTTCTTAAATAAGCCTGAATAATTGTAGCTTTTGATACTGTGATTGCATTTTTGTGGTTGACAGTTGCTTATTTCCTTATTGGAGGACTCTTGCATCCCAAAATAATGTTCCATAGATCCCACTGCAACTCTTGTACTTGAAAGTACAATTTCCTGATCCCTCAGAAATTTAATGTGTTTGGTTAGGTGCACTTTCTGCAAGACAAAATCTGAGATAAGTCTCATCAAAATACTGGATGATGGTAACAGATACATGTTATATCCAGGTTAATAATGATTATTTTAAAAATCTATGTTCTTGCAGCTCTCTGAAATGGGCAGTTTTTTTAGGCTGAATTGTGGCTGGTCGACAACTCTAGAAGGTAACTTGTTTCCCTGCAGAGTATCATACAAGTAATGATACATTGATACTGTTCTGCAGATATTGCATCTCCTGCTAGAGAGAAGACATGAGCAAATACTTGATAAATTTTCATATAAAGTAATTGAATTGTTTTAAAAACTGTTAAAAGTTTAGTCTTTATGCTGCACAAAAAACAGAACCAAAAGTGTATACTGAAGACAACAAATGAGATGTTAAAAGAGGAGAGCTTTTGGGTTGATTCTCTCTAAATATAATATGCCTGGTTGTTCTTGAAATTGCAGAGGTAAAAGTGTATGTTGAGGGAGCTGGCTTTGTGGGCATACATAATATATTTTTTTGTAAAGCAGCTTTTGTGAAATGTTCTAATATTCAGTTGTTATACAGGATTATTACTAATGGGGTAACTGCTCTCTTGTGAACTAATATTTTTTCTCTTGGGTTGCATTTTTTTCATGTGGTTAGAAATAATGCCTATTGATATTTAGTTGTAAGTTAAATTGATTTGAAGACTGCTTGCTAACTATTAAATCCTTTCCACTTAACTAAATCTCAATATTGTATTCCTATGTTACAAAAAAGGAATAAAAGATCAACTATGGAAATGTATAAATATAACCTTGAAATGTCTTTAATTGGTCTTTGACCAACTTAACTGTCCTTAATAATTCAAAATCATAGAGATGATGTGAAGTGACTAATGTGAGATTGTTCATATGAACAAAGAATATAGATTTAACTTGATTTCAGTGATTATAGAGTAATCTGTTAGGGTATATATGTAGCTTATCATTATGAACATATAGACTTGCCAGAAAAAAAGATACAAGTTGACTCTTTACTGTCTTTGCTTCTACTTCTAGAGCTGTAGAAGAGAAGATTGGCAGTGTGTCTTTTCCTCCTGCTATGGTACCCATTATTGAAAGGGAGACCCAGCACCTGAAACCCTCACATTTAGAGTATTTCAGCCTGTGGTATTTAATGTTAACACTGGAGCTGCAAAGTGGAGAGGGTAAAAAGGGTTATAAAAATGTATGGATGTTACCTTCATTGGAAAGGTAATTACTAACCTGGTGCAAGTGATGCTCCCTTCAGTAACTAGAAATGAGGCATTATCAAGTTGTGTTTTCACTGCAAGGAAAGCAAGATGTTTTCTAGTGCTTGTAGAAACAGCCAAATATGCTAGCTGCTTAGGCAGGTTTTTGTGAGATGTCACCTACTGGAGACATTAGCCTACTAGATTTACTGGTTTTGTATTTGCAACATGATATTTGGGGGTTTTTTTTTCTGTTGTGAAGTCACACACAGGAAGCAGCAAACTACAACCTCAGTCTGCAGAAGCAAAAGCTGTGTAATTCAGTTCTGTGTGTGTTTCTGGGGGCTGAGGCTGAGTGCTGACTGAGCCCAGCTCATTGCACTGGTGTTCTGAGGGCTTTTACTTAACAAAGATGACTTTTGGACCATACTCCTGGGTGTGGTTATGGATGTGCATAAAAGCAGACCAAAAATTCTTGTTGGGTGAGGTAGCTTGTTATTAAACATCACAGTCCAGCAGCTGTTGAAAAAATAATTGAGGGTTTGTCAGCCTGTTTCAAGGCATCTGCAGAAGTGAAATGTAGCTGAGCTGTTTCGAGTGAAAGAAGGAGCTCCATAAGCAAATATGGAACATACTAGAGCAGTGTGGCCATGCACTTCAGTATTTGTTTTGTAGCAGGAAATTATAGATAACTTTAGCTTAAATATTAGAGTCTGTTCTTGGAACAAGTATAAGAGTTCTGCACATTTTTACAATCCTTTTCTGGTTAAAGTGGTTATTGTCAAGTGACTGTTTAATCTTCCTGGTTCTTAGGTGTGGTTGGGTTGGTTTTATTTTTGTTGCTTGGGGGATTTGGTATTAGTCTGTTTTTGTTGGGGTTTTTTTTGTCTTTTGGTTGTGGGTGGTATGGGTTTTTTTTTTTTAACTTACGGGGGCTTTTTTTATATTTGTTTTACTGCAATGATCTTAAAATATGTTTCTTTTTGTAATGTCTTCAGAGAAAAGGCTGGAGATTGTGTTGGGAACATGATCAGAGTTGATGAAGTGCATGAAATCTCCGAGGGACAGTATCTACATTTTTTCCAACGTAGACATGGTGCCATACCTGGAACAAACCTATTGGTTGGTGATCGAGTGGTTGTGAGTGGAGAGGAAAATGGTTTACTTGGTCTGGCTACTGGCTATGTTAGAGAAGTCAGTGTGACAAAAGTCTCCTGTTTGTTGAGCAGGTAATAGAACAAAAGGAAAAATGTTTGAAGACACTAAGAAACTAGCTTCAGGAAAGGTTCTTCTAGGGGTCCAGAAAGCTCTGACATGTTCTGAGTCTTCTTGCTGGGCTTGGGGAGATAACATTCAGAAATTCTGTTACCTGATTTGAAATATGGCGTCATTGTATATGCCTGTCTATTTAAATATTTGTGTAAAAGCATGCTTGCAAGCTCCATTTGCTTATGTCTCCAGTGTGTCTCTCACTGTATGAATACAGTGATTACTGTGTTTATAGTAACTTCCATTATTCAGACTGTATTTTGTTTAAATTGGGCTCATATCATGTTTTATTTAGATCAGTTAATACTGTGTTTCTTCTAGCTATTGCTTCACTCTGGGACCTCTGGAAGATACCATTTAACACTTAACAAAGTCTCTAATCATCAGTGTGCTGCTTCTAACCAGAATTATTTTGTCCATGTTATTGTCATCCTTCAGGAATTTGTCAAAGTTCCCCAAAAACACCATATTTAGGTTGGATCACGAAGAAGGAGATTTTGGTATAGGAGTCCCCTTTGAAAATCTTTCTAAATTGATGAAAGATTCCCCAGTCAGGTATGAAAAATAACTTCACATTTTCAATATTCTCTATTTGAGAATTTTCATCTGGTAATTCTTGATTCTTGTTTTTTTTATCCACAGTGAAAGGCTCCGCAACTTGATAATTGACTTCCAGAAACCACGTTTTATTCAGCATTTAAGCTCTGTCCTTCCTCCAGAAGCAAAGGAAACTGTTGCAAATATTTTAAAGGGTACAAAGTGTTTTCCCCCTAAGCCCGCTATTGACTAGGATGTCTCTATACCCAAAGCATTGTCACACTAAATATAAGGGTATTTTCCTACTTTTAAAGTGTAGTGAGAATTTCTGGCTTAAAATTAAAAACGAGTTCTCATCTTGCTTGTCTTCCAGTGATTAAATTAGTCAAACTAGTTGGAAGACCTGAAGAGATAGTCGTTTAGAGCTTTATTTTACTTTTATTAGTTGCTGCAGCTTGCAATTTTACACAAAGTGCTATATGACTGCCTCTCTCTAACCTTTATAAAAGGAAGGAACAAGAAGCAGGGAAGGCTCTTGGGATAGAGGAAGAGGACTTTGAGGGAGTGGAAGGAGATGGGCTTTGGTGTAAGCATTTGCTTGTATAATCACTCCCGCTGAGTGTTGGCTACTCCGTAGTGTATGATCCTTTGTCGCTCTAGTTTGGGTGTTTATTTCAAACAAAATTTGTTTGGGTATTTGGCAGTGTCTCATATTTGAGAATACTTGGTTGTTGTCTGACAGAGTTGCCTGTGAGAGCAGAAATTTAACTGAATTCCTTTAGAGCAAATAGAAAGTTCTATAAAAAACTTAAGTCTGAAAACTGAAAGATGTTCCTTGTTGCTTTGAGGTCTATTTCAAATGAGAATTTTGCCCATCTTCCTGGCAAAGTGCTGAATGGATAAAAATATGAGAGGAAGGCATTTATTCTGAAATTCAGGAACGACTGAATAAGAAGTACTGGAAGACAGGGAACAGTGTCTTCCTCTACTTGTGAGCCATGTATTTTGTTTTAACAGAGGCACTGATGAACCCAGACACTTCTATTTTTACTATTATTTTTTTTTGCTTGAGCTTTGCCTAATGCAAGAAGCTGTAGGTGCTGCCTAGTTGCATTAGACTGGAGAATAAACAGCTCAGTTGTAATGTCTTTTTAAATCAAGATTATGCTATATGGGCAGTTAATTTCCTTTTACTGTGGGCTGTATGTTTGGACATGCAAGTTGATAAAATAGGAATGCCCATGCAAGATACTGTATGGAAGTGGACACTTGGGATATTAGAAAAAGGTCACAAAAAGTTTAACAATAAAGATAATTCCAGTGGTTTATTCCTAGGAGTGTAGTGCAGACCCTGTACTACATGCATGTGTATTATGTTTAGTGTTATTGCTTTGTTAGAACCTACAGACTTGCCCTGCTGAATTCTTTAAGAGCTTTAGTGGAGATGGAAACTAATTTTGTGTTATTAACTTTAGCAATTATTAAAATTATTATGAAGCATTGACATAAAATTTTTACTACTTTAAAGGTCTGAATAAGCCTCAGAAACAGGCAATGAAACAAGTTCTACTTTCAAAGGACTACACACTTATTGTGGGTATGCCTGGAACAGGAAAAACTACTACAATTTGTGCTCTGGTAAGGTTGTGTACCTTAAGTGCCTTGGTGAGATTTAGAGGGGAGCATTAAACTGTGTATAAAGCACGCTGTCCAAAATTATAATGATTTAGTCTACTGCTATCTGCATAATTTCAAAGAAAACAGGTTTTTTTATTAATTAAGAACTTACATTTGGTACAATGTATTTTTTTGGGTAGGATTCTCTTTTCCTTGTGCAGGAGGGAGGAGACAGAAGTGTTACATGTAATTGCTTCTGTGATACTTGAATGTTAAAATTCTTTGGCTCCAAATGTCAGCAAATCCTGAGTAAGAGCTCAAGAAAGGGACCCCTTGGAGAAGTCAGTAACTTGTCCAAACTGTATAAGGTGTGTTGCTGGAGCTATGTGCAGCCTGGTAGCCATCTCCTCTGGCTGGTTCTTCTTCAGGATGGAACTGTAGGAGCATTCTGGATTCAGGCTGTAGGCTGAGTGAGGTTTCCTTGAAATAGCAATGTCATCTCATTGCCACTTGTCATCAGCTTAGGTGAGAGGGTGGAGAGCAGGCAGCCTCTGCTGTTGTCAGGTCAGTTCATTCTACTGGCTCTGTTGGGGCTAAGAGCATGTGGGACTGGGCTGCAGGACTCGTTCTTACAGCAAGGATCTTCTAGTTGGTTTTTTTTTAACAAACATGGGATTGCTGATCCTGGTATGGAAAATAATTGATTTTTTTTCCTGTTTTGTTTCCCCTTGCCACTTGTTAGGTGAGAATTCTTTCTGCTTGTGGCTTCAGTGTTCTTCTGACTAGTTTTACACACACTGCTGTGGACAACATGCTGCTGAAACTGGCCAAATTCAAAGTGGGCTTCCTGCGCTTGGGGAGGGCTCAGAAGGTTCATCCGGATATACAGAAATTTACAGAAGAAGAAATTTGCAGGTCCAAATCAGTTAAATCTGTCACAGATTTGGAAGAGATCTATAATAGTCAGGTGAGAGAAGTGGCTGTGCTAGCCCTGCAAATGGTTAAGGGTAATTACATAAGTATTCTGGTTGTTTGGATGCTGCAGAGAAGAAACCCATTGCAAGGATATGTTACTGCTCTGAGAAGTCTGAGCTAAAAAAGGTACCCAGTCTCTGCATCACTTGAGTTTCTTTATAGCCAATAATGACTAATATTAGGAGTCTGAAAGTTGAAAAGCATTTTTTGTCTACCGAAAGCAACTTAAAGTTGTAAGTAATAATTCCTAAAGGCTCCAGTGCTTTTATCTGACATCTTAGGTGTGTGGGTAGTGATTAATTGCTGCAACCTCCTCTACCTTTCTTCACATATTGCTACTGTTTATCCCTCTTTCCCCCCCACTTGTGCTCATTGTGCCATTTGAACAATCAGCAGATGGGGAAGCAAATGAGATGATGTCCTGTGGAGTTGACCTGGCCAAACTCTTAATTTTTGGTTGAAAGATTAGTGTTGCCCCTGTGAATACGGTTTAAACCATAAAAGGACCTGTGTAAACTGAGTCAGTGGCAGCTTTAAATTCATTGAAAGAATGAAGCTTCATGGTAGTGGGAGTAAATGCCAATTTGCAGAAGCTGCCATTTACTTTTTTTTATAGGCATTGCAGGGGAATGATTGAAGTAATAAGGGAACCTGTTAAATGTGTCATATTTTAGTAATTTTAGATGGCAATGGAAGCACAGGGGTGGGAAGAAAGTGCTCCTGTTTTATTTTCTCTTTGGAATAAAAAAACCCAAACAATTTTCTACAGTAGTCATTTCAGCACCCTCCATCAATTCTATGTGTATAGAACCTACCCAAACACGTGACACTGAGTTATTTGCTCCAGTCTGTTCCAAAGCTGCTTTTTGTTTGTCACTTGCAATTGCTACAAAAATAAGAGGCCAGTATTATGTAAGGTGTGCTGGTCTGATTTCAAGAATTAGTAATTTGATGGTATTTGACATTTTAGTTCAACAGGAAATGCTGTTTTGTCCTTTAGCCTGGAAAAACAGGATGCTGATGGAGATAAGGTGCATCTTACCTTTCATTTGTCTCTGTTTCAGCCAGTGGTAGCAACGTCTTGCATGGGAGTAAATCACCCCATCTTTGTTCATAAGCAATTTGATTTCTGTATAGTTGATGAAGCTTCCCAGATAAGCCAGCTCATCTGTCTGGGCCCACTGTTCTGCTCCAAAAGGTTTGTGCTCGTAGGGGATCATGAGCAGCTGCCTCCACTTGTGCTGAATGCAGAAGCCAGGTAAGATGAAACATTGTTGAACAATTGTTAGTGACATGAATTCTGGGAAAGGCTCTTGCAGTGTTTTGCCTGACACATTTTTGGTTGTTTGTTCTGTAACAGAGATCTTGGCATGAGTGAAAGCTTATTTAAAAGGCTGGAAAAAAACCAAAATGCTGTTGTCCAGTTAACCGTACAGTACAGGATGAATAGGTATTTTTTAAACATTAATTATTTGGGGGCTTTTAATGAGGGATTGAAACCACAAAATCTGATGCCTTTTCTTGTATTTTAAATCTTCAGTAAAATTATGTCATTGAGTAACATGTTAGTGTATGAAGGCAAACTGGAATGTGGCTCAGAGAAGGTGTCAAATGCCACTGTTAACTTGCCCAACCTAAAAAAATTGAAACTGGAGCTTGCAGATGCTTCAAAAACATGGTTGAAAGAAGTACTTGATCCAGACACACCTGTGTGTTTTCTGAACACAGAAAAGGTAAAGGTTGTTATGTTCTTATTGCAAAATTGTATTTTTGATGCTAGTTCTCAATACAGTGAATATGTAAAACTTCATACAGCTTAAGTAGGATAAAATAATATGACTCTTTCTAGTTACATGTAAAATATGTAATATGCAAAAATGTTCTTGGTATAGCTGATTAGTTGGAGTGGTACAGCTGCTGCTGGAAACATTGCATCTAAGGACAGCTGAAAAGCTTAATTCAGATAATATTGAATGTACTATAAACTTTGTTCTCCTGTGCAGAATGTAGCTCCAAGTGTGTACCCATATGGGATGTCCTTGCAACCATAGAATGACCTAATTTCCAGTGGCTGAGGATCAGTGGTGTCGATGCTGTGTGTCAGTGGCAGGAATAACTTGTTATTTTTACTTTTGTGGACATTCTAGACACTGAAATGTGAAGGAAGAGTAAATTGATTTAGGTATGTCCTTTCCTAAGGACTCGAATTTTTGGCAGAAAAGAAAACTCTAGAATGGATAAGAATTATGCAGAGAAACTGACTTGTAGGTAAAATAAGGAAGAACTCAAATGCATGTGTAAAAAGATTAATACATCTGGTCATAGTTGTTGTCTCTAGCACTTGCTGTCATTGTAGTTAGCAACTGGATTATGAACATTTGAGTGTCTTTCTCTCTAACACGTTTTATGTTGTCTCGTTAATACAGTGTTTTCCCAATAATTGTATCAACTGATGATCTTTTAAGCTGATCCTGGAAAGAGCTCCTCAGTCCTTCTGTGTTCTCCAGGATGTTCTACAGAATTATTTTTTTTTTAAATAATTCTGATAGAATCTCTTCAGTGATCTAATAGGAAACTTTTTCAGGAATGCAGAAAACTCTAGAATGGATAAGAATTATGCAGAGAAACTGACTTGTAGGTAAAATAAGGAAGAACTCAAATGCATGTGTAAAAAGATTAATACATCTGGTCATAGTTGTTGTCTCTAGCACTTGCTGTCATTGTAGTTAGCAACTGGATTATGAACATTTGAGTGTCTTTCTCTCTAACACGTTTTATGTTGTCTCGTTAATACAGTGTTTTCCCAATAATTGTATCAACTGATGATCTTTTAAGCTGATCCTGGAAAGAGCTCCTCAGTCCTTCTGTGTTCTCCAGGATGTTCTACAGAATTATTTTTTTTTTAAATAATTCTGATAGAATCTCTTCAGTGATCTAATAGGAAACTTTTTAAGGAATGCCTCAATAGCCACTGTCCCTTTCACAGAAAAACAGACAGTTGGTCCCAGGGAAAAGGTTTATCCCAATAGGAATCTGGTTGATACACTGTTCATCTATTAATCAGATCAAAACTAGTAATGTGAAAGCTACAGTTGCTGTTCTATTTTATTTTTTTTCCTTCCCTCAAAAGCCCATCTCAAGTACAAGACAGCAGTTCTGTTCATAGAACCAGCAGGAAGGTTTCACTTTACAAAGTACTCAGGGTTTTGTTGACACATGAGGCTATAATGTCATATCTCTTTGGACTTCCTGTGAAAGCTCCATGTATTGTGGTAGTCAGAGGAAAAAAAAAAGGAAGAAAAAAATAACCCAAGACCCAAACAATCCCCCAAAGCCCCATGAAACAGCATTTTATTTTGTTTATTCAACTTTGTAGTATTTTTTCCCTGTATACTGTTGTTCATAGTGTAACCAAGTAAAGCTTCTGAATAAACATAGAATATTCTTAGGAGGATACAAAAGGGGAGGAGGGGGAGAACTATGTCATAGGACAACACCAGTAATCTTGCATTTATTATGTTTGCTATTAAAAAAACCCCAGTACAACAAACAACCTCTATTGTTTTCTGTTTAGTAACACAACTTGCATTGGTACAATAATCAGAAATGTATTTGTTCCTCTTATGCCAAACCCTGGGTCTGTCTGCACTTCCTCTGCCAGCTTGGGGTCTGAATGTTGGAAGATGTCATCCTTGATTTAATGCCAGTCTTTTGAGGAACTCCAGACCAAAGTTGTTGTTGTGGGGTTTTTTTATGTACTATGCTAACATAATACATATAAAGGTAAATGTTTTATCATCAGCATGGCCCAGCTTTTATAATTTTTCTTTCTGCTAAAGTAGTTTTTGTGTTGTCATGAGCTGCACTGATGGATGCAAGTGTGGGTAGAAACCTGCTGTTCATGAAAACTGCTTTTCTGCTTGGACACTTGAGTGTATGCAAGTTTGGAGGCTTCTTTGTGTGATGTTTTCAGATGAATAAATGAAAAACACAAAACAAACCCCAAGTAGCACAGTTACAACAGTATACCTTGATTCAGTTGTGGTATGACAGGTCATAACAGTTAGACTGAGTAGATGATGGCCGTGTAAAAAGAAGTTAGCTTACAGGAACTGTTAAGGTTGGCAGTTGTTGAGCCACAAGCTATGGAGAAACTGCTGTTTTGGAAAAGGCAATGGAATCTTCTCATACAAAGGAAAATATTTCTGCTTCTATGATCTACACAACATACTGAAAACACAGTGTCATGTGAAAGAAGCATAGAGGACATATTGCAGAAAAACAGGATTCTTGCTGAAGTGTGTGTTAGCCTACTTAAGCAATACACAGACACTTTTGCACATGGTTGGAATCTTAGAAGAAACTTGTGGATGCAGTGTGGCCTCAGAGACCACTGCAGAGTTGCAGCAGTGTCATGTATGGGTTTGTCAATTTGTTAGATTATTTTGTTGTTGTTAATTTGCAGTGCTTAAGTGTATCAGGCTTTGAACATCAATCACATTTAATGAGCTACCAGTCATGGAAATCATGGATGTGTGAAGCTTTTTATGAATACTTTACACTGTCAGATTCTGTACATGTGTAGTACTACTGTTGAAGCAAGCAGGTACCACTTACCTGGGTTATTCTTACAAAAAACTGTGTATTACTTAACCCACATGTTAAACATTACCGTGATCTCCAAATTCAGCCATTCAGAAGATACCAAGGTGTTGTTCAGAGAAGTAAAACTAGTTGTGACAGGCTTCTGAGAGTCCCATTGCATGTGGCAATGCTGTCATTAAAGTCTAGAGGCAAAACACAACAAAGTGCACATCTAAGAAAAGAAAATGGATGTTTGTCAGTGGTAGCAGAGGCAAATAGTGGAATGGGTGAAGCAGGAAATGGCAGTAAATTAATATGGTAGGAAATGGAATTCAGAGCTAGGAAGTGGAAGCAGATTTAGTTACATCCTTAGTTTTAGAATGTTGTAAATTTTAGAGGCTTGGTACTTGACCCCCCTGATGTTCAGCTGAATGCTGGTTTACTAGAAGGATAACATCAGAGACACATTCATTGCAGTGATACCACTTAAACTTTAGCACATTCATTGCAGTGATACCACTTAAACTTTGCTTGACTGTTGCCTTCTCTAAAAAAAAATAAATTATAAAACTGATACCAAAATGTCAAGAGTTCACATTCTGTGCTTTTTACTGGTTTTCTGATCTAATTCATATGTGATGCAGGGAAAGGGAGTTAATAGTCAAGAAACGGCAAGTTGAGTGAATATTGTCTTGTAAATTTGGAAGTTAAATTTAATAGCACATTTTTTGATAGTTCTTTCTGTAGTTTTAAATGTAGGCTTTCAAACATTAAAAATATCCTTTCTGCCACAGGAATGGGGAAACTTTTCAGTAGATGTTGTATGTAAAGCCTTAAAACAAAAGTCTTCTGTAAAACAGTTTGCTCTCTTACCTTGTCAGGATGAGAAATTTCCATTTATTTATTTATATGATGTCTAATGTGCAAACTGTCAAGTCAGATGATTAAGCTTTGGTAGTTTCTTTTAAAGTGACTTGCAAGTACTAGAAACTCAGTCCAGCAGATTGTTTAAACTCATTTTGCAAATGCAGTATTCTAAAGTTACTTTAAAATATTGGCACTTTTAGCACTTAGCCTTGTTTTTTAAAAACTGAAACTGGTACTATAAAACTGCATACAGAATGTAGTAGGCCACTGAAGACAGCAAGTGTCATTATTTTTATATTTTTAAAGGTCCCAGCACCAGAACATGCAGAAAAAGGTGGTGTGAGTAACATGACAGAAGCTAAACTAGTACTCTTCCTCACATCCTTATTTCTTAAGGTATCTTTTACTTTATTATTTTGTTTTGAGGGACAACTTTAGAATCATAAACATGGGAGGGGGGTATGACCTTAAGGATAAGTTTAAGGTTGGGTGAATACTGAGGAGCTTGAGGGCTGCATTTAGTTCCCTGTCTCTTGCCTGGTTGGATTTGAGATGCAAAAAAACCTGGATGCCAAGTTGTTTTAAGAGATGAGGACTTTATTGTGAGAGAGGGGAGGGCATTTGCATTTCCTCCTTATTTCAGCCAGTCACCTTCAGGAGCAGCACAGACCAGGAGTTCTGGATGTTCACCTCACAGTTTGAGGAAGAAAGAAAAACATGGATATTGGGGACATCTTTGTGCTAGGTCAAGAGACAGACAAAGCTTGGGAGCTTGCAGTAACTAGTATTTTCTATTTAGTTGATTCTAGTTATACCTAGAGTTCTATTGATGACTCAGTGTAGATACAAGATATTGCAGCACTGTTTAAAAAAATCATCTTTGAGGATCTTCTGACAGCAGTGAGTATTGTGCAGGGACAATATTTTTCTCTTCATCTGTTGCTTCTTCATACAGGCTGGTTGTAAACCTTCAGACATTGGCGTTATATCACCATACAGACATCAGTTAAAAACAATCACTGATTTGATGGCAAAACTGAAGGAGAACAGAGTGGAAGTCAACACAGTAGACAAATACCAAGGAAGAGACAAAAGTATCATAATCGTGTCTTTTGTTAGGAACAGTAACGACGAAAATGTGAGTTGGCCTTGAACTTTCTCAGTCGATTTGAGTAGTTAAAAACCTCCTTTTCAAAATGCATCTATCTACATCAGTCTAAAGATGTAAGAAAAATAAAAGCAGGTAATGTTTGTTGAACAGCTTGGTGCCCTCCTGAAGGACTGGCGGCGTCTGAACGTTGCTATCACCAGAGCCAAGCACAAACTGATCATGGTGGGCTGTGTTCCAACCCTGCGTCGCTACCCTCCTTTGGAGAAGCTGCTCTGCCATTTGCAGTCTCAGGCCATGATATCCTTTTTTATTCCATGCTGTTTTGTGAAAGGGGGAAGGTAAGACTTGGCTTCCTGAGACCTGAGATGAGAGCTTTGGTTATTTAGGTTAAGCTTTTAACACTGGCAACGGAGGACAAAATGTGCTGATTAAATAGGCCAAAACTATACTTAAGGTTAAGCTAATAAGTGGATTTAAGAACCTTCACTGGTTTCAAAAGTAGAAGAAGTCCATGCTGACCTGCAAGTCAACTTTGACATAATTCATTTTAATAGAGTCCAGAATTGGTAATATTTTTGCATTTTTTAACTGCATAATTTCTTGGCATCTTAATGTCAGTGTAATTGTTTTCCTCAGAAGTACTGTTTAAATAAACACCTCTAGTGAGAGGAGGGTTAATGAGTAATGCTGCTAGATTGGAGACTGGGGTAGCTTTCAGATGACTGAGTAATTTTTTCTTTGGCACTGTACTGAGTTTGCTACAGCTGTTTCAGTCTCCTGTTTAAATAGGAAAGACCTCATTAGCTGCTTTCTCTGCTGACACCTATTCAAACAAGTTTTGCCTTCTTACTTCATGGACATGATTCCTTAACTTGCTACCTCTTTCATCTTCCAGCGGGGGCTCATGAAAGTATCCACAAGTGTAACATTTTGTGATGGTGAAGATGGAGAGTTTTACAGGCATTTGTATGTTTTATATCTTCTGGTGCTGCTTTATGTAAATAACTGGTTAATGGGATATGGGTGCTGATTTGCACTGATGAATCCAAATGAAGCCAAAACAGAAGTTGCATACAATTATTTTAAAGTTTTCAGTTAAAAACAAAGGAGATGGTTAAGCTGGTTGTTTTAGTACCAGTATAATTGTAACAAACCAGAAATATGATGTAATCTCTTCCTTCGGGTCCTGATTAGGTGCTTCTGTATTGGCTTTTATCTTGATGAACCTGCAGAACTGAATTGGGCAACACTTGGGGAAGAGAGGGGAGTAAACCAATGTTGCATTGAGTCAATAGTTTTCTGGGCTCAGTTTGATTTTAAAGACTTGAAAATGTAGTTTGCAGAAAGTAGTTCCATTTACTAGAATGCCTAATTAAGATGCCGACCTACTGTGTTGTTTGGAAAAAAAAATAATAGGAAAAGCTTCTTTCTCTTCTTCAGAGCCTCACTTCTTTGAGGTGTTTCTGGTTTTTTAAATACTGAAGTATTTTATATTTATATATATATAGTGTAACTTACCTCTCATATGAAGATGCTTTGACTTTTCTAATCTCTTGACTCTGCATATATCTGAGAGAATTCCCTGAATTCCCTTTTATGAGTTAATGTATTTAGCAGGTAAAATTTGTTGAAGTGAAATGCTGCTCACTTGAAGACCATGGTAAAACTGGTTTCAGTTTGTGATCTTTAGTCTTCTCTTAGGTAGAAAAAAATAACACAAAACAACAAATCCAAGAAACAAAACTAGACTTGCAGCTTGATGACAAAGAAGTTTACATGCTCATGTTCTAATTTTTGTAAAGATGATACCATATGTACAGTATAAACTATCCTTCACACATCCGTTTTGGTTTCTTCATACTACCTCACACTCTAGACTACTGCTGCAAGTTTCTTTCCAGAGTAGCTGGTGGAAACCTCACATTTTTTTTGATTGTTCAAAATCATTAGTGCTTGTTTGCTTTTGGATCCATGTCAAGTAGCTGTGTGCATGTAGTTGCAGACAAACTTCTACATGTTAAATGTGGGCATTTTCACACTTTTAAATGGCTCCCTAACTTTTGTAATGCTTGAAATAATAAAATTTGGACGTTGGTTTTGTTATAGTTGTTTATAGATTTTTAATACTTGATATAATAGAAATATTTTGAACAGTACAAAAATAATTTGAATAGTTGACAGGATGTTTTCAGGTGAAAATACATAATTCATCAACTCTTCGTGCTCTGGATCTTTCAAAAGATGAAAACGTAGTGTAAAATATACTCTCATTACAGTAGTGGTTTCAGAATAACATTCTTGTATAGAGAAGTTTTTTGTGCTGAGGATCTGTGTGCACAAAAGTCTTACGTTTTAGCTTATATATTTTTTACACCAAATTGTGCTTCACCAAGTGATGATCTGGGTGCTATTAGAAAGTTAATAAATAAAGCAGAGCTATTGCCATCCCTTCACAAAGTTGTGTGAGAAATGGGCACAGGAACAATCCTCTATTTCCTTGTCTGCTTTTAAAATGCATCATTCTTGTTGCCTGGTAAAAACTGCATTAAGCAGAGAGCTACAGATCAAAACTTTGTTTAATGTGATAGAGATGTGATTCTCTAAATCACTCTTGCATTCTAATGAACATATATGTCTCAAAGGACTGTCTTGTAAAAGTAAAAAGAACCACTTTTTCTGCTTGCTGCCTTTCCAACAGCTTTCTCATGCTGGAACAGTCGCTGATGTTGTCCTACAGGCAGAGGCTGAGCACTGCCTTGGAGCATTTTGTCTTGTAGGGATTCTTAGAGAAAGAAAAAGGAAGTTGTTTTATGCCCGACTGCTACTATCGGAGCCAGTTCAATGTTGAAATGTATAGGTTCCTTTTTCTTCCTTTTAAGAGGGGGGAATCATGGATGTAGGAAGGGCTCCTTCCTTCATGATGTCCTTGTGCTCTCTGACGTTTCATGTGTAGCCCCAGAAACCCTGTTGTTCTGCAGCTTGCCGAGGAGCCTTTCCTAAAAAGGGGAGATGAAAGACCATGATTTACAGCAATTATTAAGCAAAACCCAGGTAGTGCTGGGGCTGTGCTAAGCCTGGACTGAGATCCCTTCCCTCTGCGACAACAGTGCTTGGTGTCCAACACCTCACACCTGCAGTGTTTGGTTTTCTGGTGAGATTCAAACGTTGTGGCTTGGGGTTTTTTATTTGGTGTGTTGGGGTTTTTTTTAAATTTAAAAATAAAATAGTGAGGAGTAGCTGAGATAGCCGTGGTTCTGAAAAGGCCAACTGTTCTTCTCAGTACCCTCCTCCCAGAGTTTCCCAGACGAATACTGTTCGTGCCACGCAGCAGTAGGAATTATCACTTGGAGGGAGTGTTAGAGCCGCCGAGCAGTGCGGCGTGGCGGCCCTGTCGCGATAGCGGGACG